GATATGTTTTAATATTTATGAAATGTTAAAAATAATTTTGCATTGATTTCATATCATATTATTTGTCTTAATTTATATATGTATAGTTAGTTACATGTAAAATTAATTAATATCTTACTTTAAAAGAATTTTGTTAAGATATATTGTCATTTGAAAAATCATTAGTGCTGACTATATATAAAATTATTTGATTGTATATTTTTAAGGAAAATTTCTAAAATGATAATATACTTCTTTCTTATACTGATATCCATGTTTCTAAACGTTTTCATTTATATTGCTATCCTTGTTTTAAAACAACTCTAAAATGTACTTCAGTTTTAATAATATAGATAACTACACATCCTAAAATTCAACCCAAGTGTTTTAAATACAATTTTATTTATATAAAACTATATAAATAATATAAAATAAGGAAACTTAACAAATATCTATCAACTTCAAAGTTCAAATATAAGTATTTTCATATTCTAATTATCTATCAGATACTTTTCAATATTAAATCAAACAATATATGTGAAATATATTGAACTCTTTAATATAAATATAAATATAAGTAGACCAATATATCAAATATTTTAAACATACTTTTTCAGAAATGTTCTACATTATATATTTTGTTTATAAATATGCGTAATAGGTTTCAAATCTTCTAATATCTCTGTGCAATTTATTATGTTAGATATTCACAGATGCAATCATGATAATAAACTATCATTTTAAAAGGGGGGAGAGTGTATTCAATTGAGAATTTTAGATGATTTGTATTAAAATGACAATTGAATTGTTATTCAACCACAATTTTAAAAATTTCGTTTAAGATCTATTGTATTGAATTTGACATTTCATAAACTACATTAAAATCTATTATTATTGAAAATCTTTTAAGTTGTAGAGTTTTACAGTTTTCAAGTGATTTTAGATTGTTTCGGTGGTTTCTTAGTTAAAAAAAGATTCAAATCTTATAGTTTTATGTGATATTTTAGAGTAGTTTGAAAAATCACTTTAATCTTTGCAATATAATGAAATCATCTAAAACCACAATTAAAATCAAACCACGTCTTACTTTAGATTGAATACACTCCTGTTAGTTTTACTATCTTAAAATAAAAAAAATGAAATATTAGTAATATAGCTACTAAAATAATATGCCAAATATATTATTTGTAGTGAAATCTTTCAAATACACTTCAAAAGTATTTGCAGGTTTTAAAAATAATTTTAGAACTTTTATTCAAAATGCTTTAAGCTGAAACATATTTATAGCGAAAATTATTACTGATGTGCTATGCAACTTTAATTTTTATTGAAATAAAATAGATATGAAAAGAGTTTGAAATTTAAACATAAAGAATATTAAATAGAATTGATCTTAAATGAAACGAGTTTAGAAAATACAAATTATCTATTTTAACATTTCTAACAAAATATTTGATGCATTTTAATTAAATTTTCATAGCATAAAATATTTCGTGTTTTTAAAACACTGAGAAAAATCTAAGTATAAATAAACCCCCAAATCTGAATCTGGTCGATGAAAGCTATCTTCTAGATTTGATCAAATGACAGATGCTAGATTTATAGACAAAATAGGAGACGTTAATTTTATAACAAAAACTTTTCATATGTTTTCTAGATACATAATTTTTTTTTGTTTTATAATAAATGTCATTTTAATTTTTAATTTTTTTTTTAAAGTGTCATTCTATAATTTTAATATAATTTTGTACATTAAAATTATTTTTCACTTTTTTGAATAACCAATACTTTCTCCGTTTTAGTTTATATGTCGTTGTAAATAATTTTTTTTTGTTTCAAAATATATGTCGTTTTATAGTTTCGATGTTGAATTTATTAATTTTATATATTTTCAATTTTTTTATTAGTTGAAATGTGGTTAGTTGTCTAGGTAATTGTGTTTTTATTTTAAAATATGTAAAATTAAATATTTTCTTTATCTGTGTGCAAAAACCTGAAACGATAACTAAAACAAAACAGAGGGATATTTTACTTAAATTATTTGCAATTAATTAAATATACATTTAATATGGATGTATTAGTCTTTTTTTGTCATCAAACAAATAGACTCATACAGACTCTGTGAACCAAGCTGGGAGCTCCGCATCTATGTGAACAACAAACGACGGTTGTTTCTTGGCACTGCGTGCTAGACTATCTGCCCGTGAATTTTGTGTTTGTGGTACATAGATGATCTATGAGCTGTGAAAACTCTCTTTCAGCATCTTAATATCCTCCAAATAATTTGTAAACGCCGACCATTCTTCTGGTTCCAACACCATCTTCACCAGCTGAGAATAATCCGTTGCAAAATTAACATGATATTGACGAAAATTCCTCATACATTCCTTTTTTTTTTTTTTGAAAGAATTTTAAATTTATTCAACAAAAAAAAACAATTTACAACTCAAAGTGAAACAAGAGTTACCAAATTAAAGAAAAACAGACTCTACCACCAGCCAACAACAGACCTGGTCGAAAAAGAGATAACAGAAACCAGAAACAAAAACTCCAAATAAAGGAAATCAAGCATCCTCCCTCAAGATTAACCATGTGAAACAAGTCAATCTCGGAATGAATATAAGATGATCCTCATTAAAACATCAATGAAGAAAACCCAAATGGGACAAAACTTCATTGAGGAAAGAGTAAAAATCTTATATTCAGGAGGATGCTAGACACGCAGACAAAGCAAACAAATACTAAGCCATCTCCCAAAACTGGCAAACTCGGCCAACCACCCTGAAAGCACCAACAGGGACACACCTACAGCCCATTATCTTCCAAACCAAATCTCCATAGCTTTTTCATATTTTATCATATTCTTCCGCTGAAGAGAAGTGATCCTGTTTTTAACAGTATTATCCAATCTCGCAATCAAAAAAGCAGCAGGGTGGACTATATTACCAACTCTTCTCCCATTTCTCTCCTGCCAAATCGAATGAATTGCAGCCTGAAAACAATATCTCAAAAGAAATGAAGGAATTCTCTCATGAGATCCATTAGTCACAGCCTGAATCACATGATCCCATTTATAAGTACCTCTGTCTCCGGCCAGACTTCCAATAATCCCCATCCACACTTCCTTTGAGAATTTACACTCGAAAAAATATGATTCCTAGACTCATTCATCTCTTTACAAAGCCAACAAGTAACATTAGCCATGGGATTCCACTCAAGAATCCTATCTCCCGTAGCTAATCTATTTCTCATAGCAATCCAAGCAAGAAAAGCAAATCGAGGTGTGGATTCTTTAAACCAAATACCTCTACTCCATGAAGTTTTTGGGGATTGGATACGCACCTGGTTCCAGGTTTGTGAAGTGATAAATTTTGCTTTCAACTCTCCATTCTCCTGCTTCCATAAACAAACATCATCCATTCTGTTTAGCCCCTGATTCTTCAGAATAAGAATTTGCTGTTCTATTCCTCATACATTCCATTGCCCAAATTAGTCCCTCCACCTCTGAGTGTAGGGGTGATAGATTTGCCCTAACATTTCTCACACCAATTAATTCCTGAAAATCTTCTAGAGTGCTATACCAACCTTGTCCAGAGAACTCTTCCTTATCATTCTATGAACCATCCGTAAAACACCACTTGCCTAAAATGGCCGGAATGTCCTCGCTCTGTCTCTGATGTGAACCTCTCTGTAGTTCTGTCAAACTGAGCTAGCTAAACCTCACTCCACAGAATCGATTTCGTTTCCGCTAGGTTCAACGTATCTCGTGGGTTAACATCCAAATTACTAAATGTCTTATTATTTCTGTTTTTCCAAAGGTACCACAGTATCCATGCGAAGTACTCATCCAAATTACTAAATGTCTTACTATTTATGTCTTTTCAAAGGTAACACAGTATCCATATAAAGTGGTGATCATTCATTTTTGGAACTAATGGAAGTATTAGTCTATTCTACAAATTTCTTAATTTATGTATAAAGTGTCAAAGTGACACTTATTTAAAAACATAGAGTATAGTAATTGTTTTTTTTAATAGAGACGATATCAGTATTAATTTGAAAACACGCAGTAAATCAAAACCGATATCTACAATTCGTATTTAATGGAAAGACTATTCAACAACTTTTTGTTGTCGACGTATTACGTATGACCAAATTGCACAAAAACAAAAAGGAAACCAGCATGACCAGCCCGGAGCCATGTAGTCAGAAGGGGGGTCAGTTGACCCCTATGACTTTTTGCAAAAAAATGAATTTAACTGATGGAAATTAGGTTTTTGTTGTTAGTTTTGGTTAAAATCGTTTATATTGACCCCCATATCATAAGTTCTTTGACCATCTTAATATTGTTTTAGTAATGACACATAATAATTTTTATAAATGACCCCCATAAAAATGATTCATTTCTGATTCCGCCATTGAACATGATCAAAAGTTCGGCATAAGAATATACGTAGACCAGAGGATATATCTGTTTACGGATTCAATTGTATATTTAATTTTAGTGCATTTGAAAATTCAAACATAGATTTGAAGAATAACTTATAGATTTGAATATACTAATTAAAATCTGTTTGTTAAATTTGAAAATTATTAAACTTTATAATAAACTAATTTTCTACAAATTAGTTTTTAGAGAAACATTAGCCTTTATAATATTAGTATTTTTATGTAACAACTTTTTTATTTAAAAAATCAGCTATTTAACACGTAACACATGATAAGTAGGTTTTTCATGAAAATTGGTAAGTTTCTTTTTCTCCTTCCTTTTCATTATTTTAGTATATTAAGAAGTTGAGAAATTTAGTGGGAACTTCCTGCTACACCTTACTCTTAGTAGATTTCCAAAGTAAATTTCACTGTGGAGATTGTTACACGTTGACAAATAATCAGAAACATACCGAAAATAGCTTACGTATAAATAAAATACACACAACTAGAAATAACAAAAAACCGTATAGGATACCGATATATACTAAACAGTAAAAAAAGAAGAACCATGACAAATTACATAAATCTAATTACATCACAACTTTTTCGGGTTTGCTCCTCTTGAAATCGGGAAGCTCACATGAGCAATTGCAATCCTTTCTCCTTTTTTTCTCAAAATGATTTTCTTCTTCCTCCTTGAGTCCAGTTGCTGCTATAACTCTCACAACCTCCTTCACAATTTCCTTGATGAAATCAGCTTCACAGCTGCCATAAAAGTATATTTATGATATGCTTCATTAGTTTTTTTGGAGGAAATGGACTAAACCTAATGTGATTAGAAAGCGTACCTCTTGTTTTTCAACGACAAACCCATCTTGCCTGAGATACATTCCAACGCTTCCTTCCATTTCTTGATCTGATCTCCACTAGAAGCTTTAGCAAGGTTCCAGAAGTTATCACCAAACTCACCCGTCTGTCTCCTCACGTCTCGTGCTCTCACCTTGTAAAATATTGGAATGACTTGGATCTTGTTTTTATCGGCTAGTCTCTTCATCTTCACTAACTCATCCATACACCAGCTCCAGTGGCGAATCTAGGATAAATTTTTTATGGGGACATAAATAAATAAAAGAAAAATATGTGTGTTAGAAGGGATTTGAACTGTGGTTTAAGTGGGGGCAAGTAGATGACATAAACCATTATGCTACAAAAAGTCTTTTGTTTCTTATGTAATTACATTTATTTATAGATTTTTATGGGGCAATTGTCTCCTTCTTGGTGAACGTAGGTTCGCCACTGACCAGCTCGACTCTGCGTACCTATATAAAATTAATAATGAAGATAATAATGATACACTTGAACTGGTTCATTACACTTGACAATCAAAGAGTGTTGGAATAGTATAAGAACCTGGTAGAGAAGATGGCAAGAGCGATGCTCGACTCTTCGATCCTTAAAAAGAGGTTTTTGAGATCTTTGCCTCTCTGCTCGTACTTGTCAACGAAGAAGTTGATTCCATGCCTTTCAAAAGCATCAATGAGATGACTTAAGAAGCTGTAACGTAACTGATCTCCCCGGTAGTTCAAGAACACTTGAGGAGTCTTCATAGGAGAGATGATCGTCATCGTATGATGTGACGAACTTTAAGTTGTTAAAGCCATTAGGTATTTATATTAGGCCATCGGCAGTGATAGTCTGTGGAGGAACTTCCCATGATAACAAAATATTCAAAAAGTTAAAAGTGAGAGAGTGTAAAAAGAGAGAAAAACGTCTCTTTACCAAGGTGTTTCCAACCAAAGTCTTTACACCAATTTGCCACATGACTCTCTTTTAAAGATACATCTATTTTTCAAAGATAAAAGTTTAATCATAAAATCAGATAACATTGTAAAGTATTTCCTTTTTCTAGTTTAACAGAAATGATCCCTCCACTTAATGCTGTCGTCGTTGACAAAAGAGAGACAATAAATGACAAAGGAGAGACAATAAATGACACAAAAGAAGATGACGGATGACGTTCTTTTTACAAAGAAAACAGATGACTTGGTCAAAAAAGAAAAAAAAAAAGAAAGAAAGATGAGGTTCATCTTAACATTAATTTTAAACGTTGCCAGTAATAAAAAGGTCCCTAAAAGATGACGTACTTCTCAGACTACGTTCCAAATATTTTTTTCACACAGGTGTAAATTTAGCAAAACCTTATATAATTTCGTTTGTTGTCTACTTTCACATTAATCCAAAAATATGATATAGTGTTGACCGAGCCAAATTAGGTATAAACTTAGTCAATCTCAATTTTCACTTAACCAGCATTTTTTTTATGGAAATCAAAACGCATTGTTTTGTGCTGACAAAAAATGAATTGTTTTGTTAAAATAAAAAAATTAATAAAATTCTTCGTAAAAAATATTGGAATTACACAAATTTGCTAAGAAAACCATAAACCTTTCATTTTGATACAGATACATTCATGAGGATTGGCATAGAAGTAATCTTCTTCCTTTGGTTTATCAGAGGTTACGTTCCTATGTGTTGGTTCCCCCATCCCTCTTCCTTCACAGATACTGCAAACTGATCCCATGAGAGTGTTTTGTTGTTATGCAAGTCCAATAGCTCCACAAGCCTCTTCCGGTTTAGCAATATTGTTTTCTTAAATCCAAGATATATTTCCAAAAAAAAAAAACAAGTTCATTTCACTAATCTTACTTGAGACTTTTAGTAAACATTTTGATTTATGTAAAGTACTATGGATGACCACCTTCAACAACTTTAGCCATGTTTTCAGAGTAGGTGGGAATAAAAGTGTCACTGGCTACAGATACAATGAATTCTAGAGCTGGCCATTTGTGATGAATTCTTCTGAAACTGTGGAAGCTCCATTGGATCTAATAGCATTTCCTTTTTCACCTGATAACCCATTATGATTTATGAATTTTGAAAGTATATTATATGATGAAAAAAGACATTCTATTTGATTATTTCAGACTATGAATTTATGGTATTATACTAAAAATATATTAATATGTATAAAATTAATAAACCAAATTATTATAAAATAATAATGTTGAATAACAAAGCAAAAATATAAAATAAATCATTATATATTAATAATGTTGATTAAAAATCTAAAGAATAAGATTATAAATTTACATATTAAATCATTTATTTAAAATGTTTAAGATGTAATATCAAATGTGTATATCAAACCGGTGAAGATTCCGGAATGCACGAAGAGCTGAAACAAGCAAAGTCCAAACCTAAATGCTCGAGCAGACTCTTAAGAACCAAACTCGTGATCCAGTTTTGGTAACTCTTGGACTCGGTTGCTTATGAGTACTCTCCGATCTAATTTGAATCTCCATCTATCTCCAACCACCTTCATCGTAGAAAAACTTTGCGATAATTATTACAACCATATCGATTTTTTTTTGTGTGATTCTCGAACCAGAGACAAAAACACCTTACACGTTGGTCCTAATAAGAAAACAGATACAACTGTTCAAAGTTTCTATGACTTTCGTGGAAATTTTCCCGAGAAAATCACATACCTCTACTTTGGAAGAAGAGTTCAAAATCTTGAGAATCCAAACAGCTCGAACTCACCGGAGAGTTGGGTCACATCTTCATTATCTCTGCCATTATTTAAATATCTCTATATATTAACTGAGAAACATTTGAAAATTGGTAATTAGAAAAATTTAACTCTATTCTATGTAACACATTTTTATGCCTTCTATTTTAATTTAGAAGGATTCTAGAGCATCTTATATAAAATATAGTATTAATACAAGGTCCGTTGGTCTCGTATAAGACATATCAAACTAAATAACATATCAAACTAAATCTTCTATATATTATTTTCTTAAACAAAACGTACGAAATTATCTAACATGATTAAGATATATATGACTATTAACGATTTTAAATAATAAAGATTTGTTAACAATATGTATACTTTATATCATTTAATTTTTTATTATTAAAATAAATTACAAAACTACACTAATCATATAATAAAAATTTAGAATTTTTTTATATATGTTGTATTTTAAAATTTTCAAAACGATTATAAATTACTAAAACTGTTAAAAATCTCAAATACACTTTTGTGATCAAAGTCTAATTTTTTTTCTATAATTAATTACAATGATTATAAAATCATATGAATAAATAATTTTATTTTAATAGGTGTTTATGTTAATATATATATATATATATATATATATCTCTTATTATCGTATGAATTAATAATTTTATTTTAAACATAATTATAATTTAAAATTTAAATTAAATTTTTATAAAATATTTTTTATTTTAAAAAAAATTACAAAAAGAATTCTCATATTCTTAGAGAAATAAATAAATTATATTAAATTAATTTTGAAAATTTATATATTTTAAATGCAAATATTCTACCAACTGTTTCTTAAGAAAACATTAGAGAACTTGGTAATGTTTTACCAATTAAATCATGTGACACTCCGTTTATTTTTCATCACTCGAACACTTTGTGGCATTCCGTTTATTTTTCATCACTTGAACACTTAAAAGTTAAAAAATATATGAACTGTATCTATTAAATTCTAAATTTTGATCTACAGTTCTAATACATTTGTTTCTGATCATACGTATAGATAATTATATAAAAATTCCAAAATTCCAAATACATATAAATATATAAATTTTAAATTTGTCAAATCATTATCTTCGTCTTATTGTTTAACTAATCGAGTTTGAAACAACACACACCAGTTCACTATATATATGATAAGAGTTTTTAGCCACTTACATGGGCTCTCTGCAATACCTTAGGTAGACACAAATATTTTTGTTACAAGCCCAACTAAAATTATTTAAAAACAAAAAAAAAAACAAAAATTTCGCTGCCGAAATTAAACCCAGATTTAAAAAAAAAAGTGAACAAGAGTGAACTTTGATGTCCAATTTCCATTTCGAAATAAATCAATGTACTACAGAGGATCTTGCTTATGCAGCAAGTAAAAGAAAAACTAAGAATAAAATTAAGAATAAAAAAGTTATATTAACATTGGAAACTCTTTGATGGAATTCTAAAAATTTTAGAATAAAAAAATATTGTTATATTTCAAATTTATTATATTTAAACTAAAATACTAATAATTATATATAAATAAGAATAATAATTAATAGAATATTGTTATACATCAAACTAATCCATAGCTTTAATTAAAATCACGTGGATTAGAATTTATCTAAGACAAAAATCATCATGGGTGGATCCAAGTTACTTTTGAGAGGGAGGTGTTCACCGTTCAGGCGGGGCCCTAGGGGTGGATCTAGCAAATGTGACAATATATGGTGTGGCAGTGGCACACAATTTTTTTTTTTGGTAGGAGGCAGAAGACGAGAGTCTTCTACTTTTTATTCAAACTTTAAAAAATGAGTTACAAGCAAATTTTCTGAGGTCTAGGAACCTCATTGACGTCCTCCAAAAACAATGAAACAACACTCTCTGGAACAAACTCCAAGAGATGTAAAGAAAACGTATAGTTAGCTAATCCATCCGCTAGGTGATTAGTCTCCCTATACACATGAAAAATCTTGACTGACCAGTCTCTTGATATAAAGCCATAGCACAGATGTACTAGGAAGGACAGAGGATTCGAATCTTGGATCTATGTCTTGAAAAAACCCACCACACTCTCAGAATCAACTTCCACTTCCAATCTACGAATACCACGGTTCCATCCTATGCACAGTCCATAGTATACTCCCCACAGCTCCGCCAACGCAGCCGAACAGATGCCAATGTTAAGTGCGAAACCTTCCTGCCACTCACCCTGTTCATCTCTCACAACCTCACCCGCAGTAACAGGACCAGGGTTTCCTCTAGATGCTCCATCCGTATTCAGCTTAAACCAACCATCCACCGGTTTCACCCATGAGATCTGTTTCTCCACACGTTCCCGGGCCGGCAATGCTTTACTAAGTTTTGCATTCGCACTCATCACTTCTTGTGCCTTTTCTTTAAGGAACTGCACCCTATCTCGACATTTACCTTCCTCACCAAAGACATAGAAGTTATCACCAAAC